CAGTGGTAGCATGCTTACCTGGAAAGTGAGAGGCCCTGGGTTCAATCCCCATCAAAACACACACACACACACACACACACACACACACACACACACACACACACGTCAAGTGTTTTGTCCAGGGACGCTCTGTCTCTAGGCGACTATAAATCAAAGGCAGCTTCACTGCATCATAATGACTTAATTTCTCTAGATGAGAATGGGGCATTTAATTCTTACTAAAATAGTTTCAAAGAGCAAAAATGTTTCCAATAGTTTATGATTTCACAGAATAAAATTTCTCAGTAAGAAAGTAGTAGCTTTCTAAGAACTGGTTTGTTAAGGCATTTTATGTAGTGTGTGTACGGGAAAAATGATGTGTTGAAATAAATCTGTACATGACTTTATCCACAGCTCTCATTCTGGACTGATGAATGGTGGGGATATTTTTACTTTTTTAGTCCCAGAAAGTCTTCACCTACCATCGTTTAAAATATTGATGCATAAGTCACTCTCCCTTCCTGAGAAATCTGAGTCACTGCAAATAAACAGCTTGTGTCTCACACTTTTAATGCCCAAATTGCAAAGCCCCCTGCAGCATGTTTACCAGACCTCAGCATCCAAGTGTCTCAGTTAAGCTTGCCAGTTTCCAGAGGGAAGTCTCACACTCCCATTGTGCTACTCTCCTGTTCTTTCTTGTTCTAAGCTTGCCCTGGCTGAGGCGACTGCCATCACAGTAGTCTGATGAAGGCCTCCTGTTGCTGCAGCTGGTGGAGAGTTTGCCACTCCTTATGCCCAAAGCTGCATCTTCCCAGGGGAGCAGGGCATTTTCGGATTCTATAAGAACCTCAGAGAGTCTCACTACAATGTCATTTGCACCTTGAAGCAGTGTGCTCATGTTCTCTCTCAGTAAAGCTGCTTCTCCTGTCTTCTGCAAGCAGGCCTCAAAACTTATATGCAAAACCAAAACCAAAAGCAAAACAAACAAACAAATAAAACACACACAGAGAAATCAAAACAGCAAACAAAAATCAACTGATCAAACATAAAGAAGGAAGACAAGAAATGATATTTCATTTCCCAGAGATCCTGCTCTGATTCTGCTTAGACAATGATCAGACCGCAACCCTTAGCCCCAGCACTTGTTCATTAATCTTTTGTCAAAAGATAAGGGCCTACCTTAAATTTGAATAAAGATCATCAATTTTCTAAAAAAAAATGGGAACTACCTATTAAGGTAATTTAGTCTCCATGTTATTCTTGGGGGGGGGGAATGTAAATTATTACAGCCACTACCAAAATCAGTATGAAGTTTCCTCATAAAATTAAAAATTGAACGGATATATAATCCAGCTATACCACTTCTTGGTATTTATCCAGAAGAATTTTGGAAAGAATACTTTGGAATGTGTGCATACGACATGTTTATCAAACCATGATCATGATAGCCAAGTTGTAGAATCAGTAGAGATGTTCACCAACAGATGAATGAATAAAAAAATGTGATGTATATAAAATGGAGATTTATTCAACCATAATGAAGAATGGAATTGTGTTACTTGCAGGAAAATGAATGGAACTGGAGAGCATTATGTTAAGCAAAATAAGCTAAAGACAAATATATATTTTTTCTTAGATATGGAGGCTAGAAGGGAAAAAAATAAAAAGGGTGTCATGAAAGTAAAAATAAAACCAATAAAGTAGAGGAAGGGGAGCACACAGGGAGGAGAAGAGGCAAGGAGTAGTGTTAGCGAGTACTACTGACCCAATTATTCTATGTATATGTATGAATATTCCACAGAGAAGCCCATTCTTCTGTATAATTAGTATGCACCAATAAATACATTTAAAATAGAGTCTGTCTTTAGAAACCCGCAAAACCCCCCAAAAACCAAAACCCAAAAAATAACAACAACAAACAAAAACCTCTCATCCTGTCATACTTAAAGGTTTTACTTGATTTTACTCATTAAAATTTTTAAATCTCTTAGCCAGGCACTGTAGTCCTAGCTACTTAGGAGGCTGTGGTAGGAGGATTACTTGAGCCCAAGAGTTAGTTGAGACCAGTCTGGGCAACATTTTGAGACCCTGTATCTAAAATATGAACCAACAAAAACCTTAGAACTCTGGAGTATCATCTTAGTGAGGGTATGCTGTTGCATAAATAACACTTAAATGCCCCCAACAAACATATGTGGCCTCTCTCACTTCGCTTGTTGTCATGACCATGTGATTTTCTTCAATTGATTTTTTAAAAAATAAATGACAGCAGAATGCATTACAATTCTTATTACACATATAGAGCATAATTTTTCATATCTCTGGTTGTATATAAAGTGTGTTGACCCCCAATTCGTGTCTTCATACATGAACTTTGGATAATGATGTCCATCACAGTCCACTATCCTTGCTAACCTCCTGTCCCCTCCTTTTCCCTCCACCCCTCTGCCTTATCTAGAGTTCCTCTATTCCTCCCATGCTCTCCCTCCCTACCCCATTCTGAGTAAGTTACCTTATATCAGTGTAAGCATTCGGCATTTGTTTTTTTGGGGATTGGCTAACTTCGCTTAGCATTATCTTCTCCAACGCCAACCATTTACCTGCAAATGCTATGATTTTATTCTTTCTTTTTAAAAAAATTTTTATTATTAGTTGTTCAAACCATTACAAAGCTCTTGACATATCATATTTCATACATATGATTCACGTGGGTTACGAACTCCCATTTTTACCCCGTATACAGATTGTAGAATCACATCGGTTACACATCCACTTTTTTACATACTGCCATACTAGTGTCTGTTGTATTCTGCTGCCTTTCCTATCCTCTACTATCCCTCCTCCCCTCCCCTCCCCTCCCATCTTCTCTCTCTATCCCATCTACTGAAATTCACTTCTCCCCCTTGTTTTTTTTCCCTTTCCCCTCACTTCCTCTTATATGTAATTTTGTATAACAATGAGGGTCTCCTTCCATTTCCAAGCAATTTCCCTTCTCTCTCCCTTTCCCTCCCACCTCTCATCCCTGTTTAATGTTAATCTTCTTCTCATGCTCTTCCTCCCTGCTCTGTTCTTAGCTGGGAATGGAACCACCATTTGACTCAGCTATTCCCCTTCTTGGACTATTATCTAAAGACGTTAAAAGAGCGTACTATAGGGATACTGCTACATCGATGTTCATAGCAGCACAATTCACGATTTTATTCTCTTTTATTGCTGAGTAATATTCCATTGTGTATATATGCCACACTTTTTTTTTATCCATTTATCTACTGAAGGGAATCTATGTTAGCTCCACAGTTTAGCTATTGTGAATTGTGCTGCTATGAACATTAATGTGGCTGCATTACTATAGTATGCTGATTTTAAGTCCTTTGGGTATAGACCTAGGAGTGGGATGGCTGGGTCAAATGGTGGTTCCATTTCAGTTTTCCAAGGAATCCCATACTGCTTTCCATATTGGCTGCACTAATTTGCAGTCCCACCAGCTATATGAGTATATCTTTCTCCCCACATCCTCACCAACACTTATTATTGTTTGTCTTCATAGTAGCTGCCCATTCTGACTGGAGTGAGATGATATCTTAGAGTAGTTTTGATTTGCATTTCTCTAATTGATAGAGGTGATGAACATTTTTCTATAGAACCCTAAAGAAAGAAATCAAAGAAGACCTCAGAAGATGGAAAGATCTACCTTGCTCTTGGATAGGCAGAATTAATATTGTCAAAATGACCATACTACCAATAGCACTATACAGTTTTAATGCACTTCCAACCAAAATCCCAATGGCATTCCTCATAGAAATAGAAAAACAATCATGAAATTCATCTGGAAAGATGACAGATCCCGAATAGCTAAAGCAATTCTTAGCAAGAAGAGTGAAGCAGGTGGCATCACTATACCAGATCTTAAACTATACTACAGAGAAATAGTAACAAAAACTGCATGGTATTGTCACCAAAACAGACTGATAGACCAATGGTATAGAATAGAGGACACAGAGACTAACCCACATAATTATAATTATCTTATATTAGACAAAGGTGCCAAAAACATGCATTAGAGAAAAGATAGCCTCTTCAATAAATGGTGCCGGGAAAACTGAAAATCCATATGCAACAAAATGAAATTAAACCCCTATCTATCACCATGCACAAAACTCAACTCAAAGTGGATCAAGAACCTAGGAATTAAACCAGAGACTCTAAGTCTAATAGAAGAAAAAGTAGGCCCTAATCTTCATCATGTGGGATTAGGCTCCAACTTCCTTAATAAGACTCCTATAGCACAAGAATTAAAATCTAGAAATCAATAAATGGGATGGATTCAAACTAAAAAGTTTCTTCTCAACAAAAGAAACAATCTGTGAGGTGAATAGAGAGCCTATAGAATGGGAGCAAATCTTTACCTCTCATACATTTGTAAAGGACTCCTCTTTAGGGTATATAAAGAACTCAAAAAGCTAAGCACATACACACACAAAAAAACCCCCAAAAAACAAACAAACAAAAAAAGCAAAAACAAATAATCAATAAATGTGCCAAGGACCTGCACAGACACTTCTCAGAAGAGGATATACAATCAATTGACCATGTGCTTTTCTTCAACCCTCTTCCACAGTCAATGTATTTACAAGTGAGAGTCCTATCAAACCTGTAGTGGAAGGACAGAGAAGGGACACCAAGGATGCTGATGAGAGTGTCATTGATGAGATCCAGCAGAAGCACTAAAGGTGGAGAAATAAGTGAGGAAAGAAAGGCATCGATGGAAAAGCCTTCTACAAGAAAGCCCTCTCAATGGTGCTGATACACTGCTCATAATGAATAATCACCGGAGCATCTACTATGTGCAGGCCTTGCAGAAAGACCATGATTGGCCTTATCTTGTTCAATTCTTAGAACCACTTAGTCAGTTACAAGCCCTTATAGATTTTATAGATGAGGATGCCAAGGTTCAGGGAGTAACATGCTCAGATCACATGGCTTATCAGTGACAGTGCTAGTTCTTAAAACAAAATCTCTGATTTCAGTGCTTGTTATTAATTCTTTATTTACTTTCTGTAATATTGTGAGATATATGCCTTATTAAATAGAATTGAAATATACATACAAATATCTGAAGCAGGTAAAAAAATATCATGTGTATTTACCTGCATGTTCAGTAGTTCTCTAGGTCTGTATCATCCACTGCCAATCAAGTACATCTTGCATTTTTTTGTTTCTCATTTTTGAGTTTTCCAATTTTTACCCTGTTTCTACTATCTCTATACTTTTCAGATAAAATTCATTTTCAAACTTAACATTCTGAATTCACCCTTTAGGATTTCATCTGGAAATATTCAATTTCATATATCAATAGTAAGAGATAGCTTTAGAGTTGCCAAAATAATTGCAAGGAAAAGATCAGATCTGCTTGAAAAACTTTTCAGCTATAAGCTCTGAATATGATATGGAAAGCTTATTAGTGAAAATATATTGGAAATTCCACCCCCATGTAGGTCAGAAACTTAACACAGGCAACAAATCCAATATGAAGATACAATGTGGCTCCTTTAGTTTTATTTTATATAGTTGATTTGTTTTTTCTGTACCCCTGCTGATAAGAAGAAAAACTGTTAACTTTGGTTGAAAGCTTAGTCCACTGTGCTAATTTAAACAAAGGCTTTATTCAGTATTCAGTCTCTTTTGGCAAAAATTATAAAAGAAAAAACAACCCACAAAACACAACTAGTGCTCAGTTTATCAAATGACCTCAGAATTCCCCAGTCATCTCCCTCAGATAGTGGCTCTGTGTATGGGGGAAGGATATGTCTTAAGATTATGAACACAGATGAGTCAGAGTCTTAAGATGCTAGATGCTATGTCTTTTGAATCCTCTACCTTTCAGGACAATGTCCCATCTAATTTCTGTCTCTGCAGCTGGCATTCTTGGCTACTTCCTGACTCTTACCTTTTGCCCTCATCACTGCATGGAAACTGTCAAAATCACCCATGGCAGCTGTGTTACTAAAGCCGATGATTAATTCTCTGTCATTATTTATGTGACTTTTCTGCAGCATCTGTCGCAGTTGATTTCTCCCTTCTCTTTGATGTTTTTCACTCACATGGCTGCCAGGACACCACAGTCTTCTGATTTTTCTCCAAAACTCTGAAGGTTCTCCCATCTATCTCCTTGGATGGTTCTTTCTTTTATTCTTGACCTCTAAATTTTAAAGTTTGCAGACTGCTTTTCTGAAATCCAGTCTTATCTTTCTGGGAGCTTACTCAGTATCTCCACTTGGATGCTGGAGAGAAAACGGAGATGTGCCCCCAAACTTGCTTGTGCATAATTTTCCTTTTCTACTGGCAATTCCATAACTCCAGTTGTTCACATCAAGGCGAGTCCACAGTCTTTTCTCTTGCCTTAATAGGGAGAACATAGATTAGGATTTTTTTTCTTAATATTCTGCCTTTGCAGTTTATAACATTTTCCTCTTAATTCATGATATCTACCTTTCTAAAGTATACATTATAATGTGTAAATTTTATTTAAAAAAACTAGAAACCTAGGGCTGTAGTTGTGGCTCAGTGGTGGAGCACTAGACTATCATGTGTGAGGCCCTGGGTTAGATTCTCGACACCGCATATAAATAAATGAATAAAGTAAAGGTCCATCAAAATATATATATGTATATACAAAAACAACAACAAAACTAGAGACCTAGCCAGGCACAATGGTGCATGCCTATCATCCCAGCAGCTCAGGAGACTGAGGCAGGAAGATCACAAGTTCAAGGCTGGCCTCAGCAATTTAGTGAGACTCTGTCTCAAAATAAAAAATTAAAAGGTCTGGGGATGTGGTTCAGTGGTTAGCACCCCTGGGTTTAATTCCATTACCAAAAACAAATGAACAACAGTAAACAAAAACAACACAAAGCCCAAACAAACAAACAAAAAAACTAGAGACCAGAGTAACTTTGGGATAAAAGTATATGCAGAATTTGAAGTTCATAGTCTAAGACCTAATTCATCAAAGTCAAATTCATAAATTGTCTCATGGATTTGAGTAATAATTTCATGTATTCACATTGCCTTAGCTTTCTTTTGGCTCTTCATGTGATCTCAATTCAACATGTTTAAAACACCATCTCCTTGTAGGTAACACCATTTGCTACGTTTGGAATTTCTCTGCTTCTTGCTCTAACTTTGTGACTTTCTTGAACATCATCATTTTCATACATGACCCAACCTCACTCACACCCACTGGATTGGTTTAAGGATGTCAACATGGTTCAGCCAATTATTTCAAAATTACAATTGATTGATCCATTAGGTGACACAATGTGGGTCAATTACAATCCTTCCTTAAATTGTCTGAACTTGGAAGCATGGAGAGTAACATACAGCTCCCCTCTGGAAACAGAACCGATGAGAAGCAAAACTCAAGAGCTATTTGTGACCACATTTCCAACTATATGAAGGAAAGCAGTCTGCAGTGAGACCAAATGAAACCAACATCCTGAGTGGTACAGATGAAATGCAGAGGACTAGACCATGGTGATATTTCTGTACCTGGATCTCATTTTTTTTCCCAAGGCCCAGTTAGTTGGCCTTTTAGCAGATGTTAATGAAGAATCTTATGCTTTTTATTGTGGAGAGCCATTGTTAACTTGCTTAAGTTGGGGGTGGTGGTGGTGGTGAACAAATTTATTTTCTTATATGGATGGAAAGAATATCAAAATAGCTAACATAACCAAAGCAATAGCTTCAGTAACCAGGTCTCCATTTATACCTGTAACTGACACTTTTCTTTTTTGATCCATCCCTCATTTCTGCTTCTCTTAGCTATTAGTTCCAGTCAGAATGCATGCTCTTAGGCATGATTCTAAATGGTGACTCCTCAAAACAAAGCCTCTAGGGCATACGTCTGTGCTAAATTTCATGTAAAATTCTAAAAATGGCTGATTGGTGTAGCTCAGGTCACGCGTCAACCTCTGAACCAACCCCCTGGACAAAAGCATAGGGTACGGCAGTCATATGCTATTTCTGTGGCTATGGGTCAGTGAGGCATACATGAACTAAAAACAGGAGAAGTGCAGGACTGTTACCACAAAGGATATAATACTCTGAGGATACAACACTCTAGCTACCACAACCCACTACACCACTTTTTGTTGGTTTAATTCTTTCTTGGTTTCCTTGCCTAAATTTTCTGCCTAATCCAGTTAAATTATTTTTTTCTCACTTGCAATCAAAGTCCTGAAGAATACATACTTTCTTATGTGTCTTTTCTTTTTTCATTGAGTCCTATTTCCCTGGATGTCTCTGTTTGCTGAATCACCCTAGTTAGAAATGTGAGAATCTTCCTTAATTTCTCTGCATCCCTCCCTCTCCATATCCCCAAATGTAGAAATCATTATCAAGTTTTGCCTATTCCTTCTTCTCTGTATCTAATCAGAAATTCTATGTCAGTCCAAACCTTACAATATCTCTGCAACCAATCTCATTATTCCATCTCTGCTGTCACAATGGTTGACAATGCCTTCACCATTTTTGCTTGATATGACTCCTTAATTATTTTTCCTACTTTCAGTCTTGCTTCTTTGCTATCTTCCACCCTGTGGTAAAAATAAAATGATCTTGTTATCTGCCTGAATAATATTTTTATCTTGGCATCCATTGCCTTTAGAATAAAGTTAAAGTTTTGGTGATGGGCACAAGACCCTTTGTAAATGTTTACTAAGATACTTAACTTGTCTCATAATATTCAGGTCTCAGCATCTGTTTTCATTTGTGTACCTTTTACCTTGCTGCTGTGCCATCTTTGTACTGTCCCTTTCAGTCATTGTTATCCTGACCCTATCCTCTGATCTCATAATTAGGTGTCTTTTATTTGCTCTTATACTCCTTGTTATCCTGACTCCTTCTGCCTTTGATAGTAATCAGGTTCTCAACTGCATATTGTATATAAATCACTGATGAAGATTTTAAGAATCTCATGTTTTCTTGGCCCACCCCACAAACAGTATATCAGAAGCAATTTTTTAAAAAATTACCTCCTGGAGATTCAGAAGCAGATGGTTTGTAGAAGCAGTCATTTAGCCAATACTGCGTTTGAATATCTGCTCCTGCCTGATACCAGAGTTCTCTGATGATGGTTCTTTTCACTGCCTGGATTTCTTCCTGGAGCTACTCCTGAGAAGTCTTCTGATTGGCTGGTACGACTTTGAAGTCTCTTCAGATGTATATCCCAGTCATCTCTGCTCTGGACCCTTGTGCTAGAATGCAGAATCACCTATTTCAATTGTTCTACACTCCTATAGTTATGCAGCCCCCTCCTTATTCTGCATCTTTTAATTTATTCTGTCCTTCTTGTTTTATTAGCTATCAATCTCATTCAGACTTAAATAAAATTTCCTGAATACTTCGGGTATGTCTCCAACCATAAATTGTCCTTCTCACTTGGCAACCTTGAACTGCCATTGCTAGATGTACACTAGCACTTAAAAATTATTGTAATTGCTCTAGATGGTTCTATACTGCAGTGAAGGGCAGATTGTGTATATCTCTTTCAACTTCATATTTTAAAAAATCTCATTGGTTGTTTGAAATTGGATATGTATAAATATTTGCACCACCGAAATAAGGAGACTCAGAGAATGTAAATTTTTTTTTTTTCCTGGAAGACTGTTAAACATTTATCAAGTATCACTGGCTCTAGTAGACAACGGAACTGTGGTAGCTTTAGTGCCAGCCTGTGCAAACAGGTAAAACCCCTGCAGTTAAGCAGCACACATCCTGGACTAACACCACCTGAAAACACAGGTGAACTGAGTCTGACAGATGACTAACTAGTGGCTCTAGACCTTAAAAAAACCCAAAACTAAGGTCCTAACTCTGCTCTAAAACTATTCTACTCTGGCAATGATCCATCTCAATTAATTCACTGAGAACTTGCACAAGTCATTTCAGCAACCTGTGTATCGACTTTCTCATCTGTAAAATGGACATGTTGATAGTCTCTGTCTTACGGGGCTGTGTTGAGGATTAAATGCATTGTGACTGGTAAAGTGCTTAGAATAATGCCAGACACAATAATGCTTTCCTGAAATATTATGTGTTTAAATAATTGCTGAGACCCAAACCATTACAGTCAGCCTTTCCTCCATCCCTTCTCTTACACATCATCCCTAATCTACCAGGAAATCTTTTTTCCTTTGACATTCAAAATATGTATCTGAATCTGACCTCACTTTACCACTTCTATCATGACCTTCCTGGATCAAGACTCTGTCATGTCAATCTGAATTAACGTGATGGCTCAAAGATGCTTTCCTTACTTTTACTCTTGTCTATCCACAATCTTTTCCTAAAATAATAAATTAAAGTGATCCTTTCTGATCACTTTTAGACTACATCTACTTCTTAGCCAAAAACTCTCCAGTGGTTCCCCATTTTCCTCAGGGCAAAAGTCAAAATTCTTACAATGACCTTGTTTTAGTTAGCTTTCCTTTTCTGCTATGACCAAAAGATATGACAAGAACATTTTTAGAAGAGAGAATGTTTATCTTGAGACTCATAGTTTCAGAGGTCTCAGTCCATAGACAGCCAACTCTATCCTCAGAGCCTGAGGTGAGGCAGAACATCATGGTGCAAGAGTGTGGCAGAGGAAAGCAAGTCTGGACATGGCCACCAGAAAGCAGAGAGACAGAGATCCACTCAATAAGGATAAAATATACACCCCTTAAACATACCTCCAGGTTCTTACCTTCTCTGGCTATACCCTACCTGCCTATGGTTAGCATCCAATTAATCCCTATTAGGGGATTAATGCACTGCTTAGGATAAGGTTCTCATAACCCAATCATTTCACCTCTATACTCTTTTGCATTGTCTCCCATATGAGTTTTTAGGGGACACCTAATATCTAAACTGTAACAGACTTAACAAAACCTGGACTCAACTCTGAGCTCTCCTCTGACATCATCTATGATATTCCTTCACTCAAGCTAGTGTAGTTCTTCTAGCCCTTCTGGAATGAATGGGTGAGGGTGTATCATAGGATTGTTACAACAAGAATATACAAGAAAACAAGAACAGGCATGGGGAAAGCCACAAGGACAGGGGTGGAGGTTATGGTGTAAGTAATAAAGATCAAAAAGTAAGAGTCAAGAGGCAGAGGAAACAGTTTAGGAATTTTGTTCAAATTAAAACAGGTAAGAACAAGATCTGTACCCAGCCTTTTGAAAATAGTCCTAGTATGAGGAAGACAATAAAACAGTTCCAACAAGAGCCCTACAGAGAACCTGGCAACCTTTAGCAACCTTCAGTCCTAGGGATGTGCCAAATGTGGTATGGCTTTGTTGCAGAGGTATTCAGTGGTAGGAAGCTTGTGAATGTTTACATAGATAAAAGGTTATTTCCAAATTTGGTGGTAGGTGAAAGCACCTCTATTAATAATATAGATCTGCTTCTCTTCTAGAAAAACAATGAGATTGCTTAAGATAATTGAAAATTTCTTGGGAACAGATGGGATGTGGTTAGGACAAAGAGCAAAACTGTGGCAGCTAAGAAAAGTGGGAGCATTAACCTTGATCTGGCTCTTGGATAGCCTTCATTTTCACTCACAGACAGAGAAGGCAGGGACCAAGAGCAGACATATAGAGTGTCATCTTTAAAATATAGCCTTGCGCTAGGGGTGGAGCTCAGTAGTAGAGCACTTGCCTAACGTGAGAAGTCCTAGGTTTGACCCCCAGCATTGGGAAAAAAAAAAAGAGTATAGGGCTAGAAATGCAAAACAAAGAAGCAGATAATAAAAAATGAAACAAAACCAAAAACAAGTATGTTGATCACTCAGTTTAAAACATTGGACTAAAAAATCCCATAAAAATTCCATGACAATCTATGGGGTGGAATCCCAACTATTCATTCTGTAGCCTGTCTCATCTCCTGCCTCTTTCTTTTTTCTGGCACTGTTCTCGGTTTATTGACCCTGTTCCAGTCTGTACATGTGCCTGTCCAGCTTTGTTTCTCATCTGCTCATTGTTTCCTTCCTGTTCTTATGATTCAATACTCCATTTAGGATTACTTGGCAGTGGCTCTTCTACTCACTACATCGGCTTTGCTTAGGTCCATGTGCTTTAGGTTCTGGTTGACAAAGTTGACTCTAAGGTTATATAATCTTCCCTTTTCCCATCCACTGGCCCCTGTGTAACATGTATCTGCCTCATCCTGGTTTCTTCTAGATCACATCCTTGGGTTAGTTCAGGTTACCCTCAGAGATCTACAGAGTATTCTGTGCAAGCATCTCATGATGTGATAGAAAATGCTGTCATAACATATCCAGTCACCAAATAAAATATCCTGTTGTGCTGAAAAGGCCAAACCTTAGTCTTACTATGAAAATTTGTTCTACTTGAGATTTAAAACCAACTCCACTTAGAACTAAATTCCATGAATTTAGAACCAATTATGGACCCTTGATGAATCAGTTCTAAAATGTCCCAATAAAGGTGATAAAAAGTTTGGTGATGGATAATTTCTACTCTGTGTGTCTGTTGCTGTTGCTTCCCTGCAGAATGTCTCACATAGCCAGTGTAGCCCCTGCACAGCTGTTGAAAGAGCAGAAACCAAGGATATAGCAACTGCAACTGTCTCCAGAGAAAATCCCTTGGGTGACAGGAGCTGCCTCATCCAGTGTTGATTGGTAAACTACTTTGTCTTTCCCTCATTAGTCCACCCGGATAAGATTTCAAGTCCCAATTTTTGTGCATGGTACAAATGGAGGAAAAGATACTTCCTGCCACAAAATCACCATACATGGTTCTGGAAGAAGGGATACTCGTCTGTGGCTTTGTGCTTTTGAGTGGTACCAAATAAAATTATTCTCCCTCCAACCTTTCAATAACATCTACCTTGTGACTTTGCGTTTTTAATCAATTCAAGCATTAAAATATTTCTCCCCCTCTGATTAAAGCATTATTTCCAGATGGGAGCTCTGATACATTTTCTCAGACAAGCTGTCAAACCTATGCTTCATCAATTATGCCTTCCTCCAGTAATGACTTGCATCTTTTTTGAGTAACATATCTGCAGACTTGTGAAGTACAGGTAGGAGGTAATATGTTAGTTCCTCTCATCAAACTGCATTGATCTGAGGCTCTAGAGAGGCATTGGATTCTGTTTCCATGGCAACTGCTTCACTGCTCAAGGGGAAAACAGGACAGCAATTGAAGTCTGTGTTAATGGCAGCTCTAAAAATAATCAGTAATGTGTTGAAATCAAGTGAAAGACCTAGGAAGCAATAGGTAAAAATTATAACCATGCAAGGTGGGATTGAACAATAAGGTATTGTACAAATATTATTACAAGTATACTATGCTTCAGGAATTACAGGAATGGTTGGTGACAAATATATTTTCAAAGAGAATCAAGTATTCTTCTATTTTTTTCATTCATTCAGATGACTGTTGAATATGGATTACATGCCAGCCATGAAGAAGGACCTGAGAATGTAGAGCTGAGTCAGTACTGTCTCAGTCTTCCAGAATCTCATGGTTTTATTGGTGCACTATGCAAGAAAATCCACTGTGATTACTATAGACATTTTGTTTGCCTATCCAAGAGATATTCTAGCCATTCTCTATTGTTTAGCAAGTAGGAAATTAAGGATTTGTGTGGGATTGATCACACAGTAAGCTCCAGGGATTATTAAAAATCATTTCTAGCAGGTAAGTCGTATAGCAGTGAGAATGTAGACCAAGGTACAAACCTGGATGACACTCTTATCTGTAGAACTGACTTTGGCACAAAGCTCATAAACCTTTGGGGCTTGTGAAATATTTATCATCTCCTTTGCCTGAACATGAAAGAAGGAGACTACAGTGTCTGCTGCCTCAGGAAGTCACTGTGTGATCAAGATGTAAGTCAGTCTAGGGATGAAGCCAGAACTTGGACAAGGGCGAAGCCAAGAAAATCACAGAGAAACATAGTAAGACTTAACTGCATGGAAACTTACTGTGCTTCTGGATGGTCTTGTGACATTAAACCAGTAAAATTGATTTTGGTGGAGACTTGAGTTGAGATTCATATGTTTTCTGTTGCCTGAAACAAGCAAAACAAAAAGCTTTCAACTAATAACCTTAGAATAGCTTCCTGTGTTGTGAAACTGAGAATTCAGCTTAGCTGTCTAGCATAGCTCCTGATTGTCCAACTCTATATAATTGTCAGGCTGCTGGTAAAATGGGCCCCTTTTAATCCAAGCTCTTTGCATAAGTAGATTTATTATGAATCTAAGAAAGGTTAAGTTCAAATGCTCCTTGGTCACTCTGCATCTTTTGGTTTGGTGTGGGAGCAGCAGCTATAGTTGCAAAGTAGCTTCTGGGCTGTGCCAGCTTACAGGTCAGTCTTAAAGGTGCAGTGGTATCCCCAGGGTGTGAGTTGAGTGAGAGTGTATCTTTAGCACTATTTCTACATTTGACTGATCTCCAGTAACAGCCCCTTGTATACCCAACTGAGTATTTGTGCCTTGTCTTTAACCCCAAAAAGTAGGATACGAAATCCTCCTTGCTCTCCTCTCTGGGAACTAATAACAAGATCTCATAACTAATCTAACATCACAAATCCCAAACCTAAAAGAGTGAAGAAAATAGATGAAACCTTGATGAGCTGGACCAGCTGCTGGAGGAGCCATTAATATGTGTGTGTATGTACATATGTGTGTTTGTGTGTGTGTATGTGTGTGTATGTGTATGTGTGTTTGTTGGGGACAAGCATACTGAGCTATATCATAAAGCTACAATTTTCTGGGGGCTTAATCTCTGACCAAAAAGTCACCTGGTTGAGAAACTGGAGGAATTTAGAAGAAGCAAAATTCTATAATTAGTTGTGAAAGTGAAAGGAAAACTTCTAAACCTCAAAAAATAGTAAAAAAATAGATTGCAATAAGCTATATTAAAAGCCAGATTATTTTTCTATCCTCTTTAGAGGTATTAAAAATCATTGCCATATTAAGAACTTATCAAAGAATACCTGTCAAAAATATAGGATAGATATTAGCTGTATCAGGGAGTTATTTGATAATATTAATAACAATAATTTTAAAAGTGTGTGAATTGATGTTGTTCGTAGCATTTGTCAACTTCTAAAAACATGTAATTGATTTTTTATGTTTTTTCTAGTATTCATTTTAAGATACAATTTTGTATTCTTTTAAATTTAAATATAATCTCCTAACTTGTGTAACTGTCAGACCCACAAAATCTGAATATGCCCCTTGTTTGTATGATTAGGTTATCTTTAGTCTTCTTCAGATGAGTAGGTTTGAACTAAAACTTCTCTTTCTAGAATTTTCCTGCAGTCTTTAGGAAGTAGGAACATGATCAAGTACTTGTATATGTTTTATTTCAATTTTCAAAACCATCTGCCTTGTTAGGTACATGGTCTGACTCCTAAAATGCATTAGGCAATGTTTTTACCCACAGCTTTATTACTGCATGCATTAGTTTCCTGGAGCTGCTATTACAACTTACCACAAGGTAAGCAGCTAACAACATTCTGTCACGTTTTTCAGATGTCAAAACATCAAGGTGTCAGCAAGACTATGCTCCTGATGAAGGCTCTAGGGAAGAATCCTTACTTGCCTCTTCATAGCTTTTGGTGGCTCTAGCAATCCTTTGCATTCCTTGGCTTGTAGTTGCACTACTTTGATTTTACATTGGCTTCTTTCTTGTGTCTCTGTACGTTCTCTTTTTATAAGGATATCAGTCATTGGATTTTGGACCATTCCAATCCAGTATGACCTTAATTTGCAAAGGCCCTCTTTGCTAATATGGTCACATTATGAGATTCCAGGTGGACAAGAGTTTTTAGGAGACATTATTTAAACCAATACAGTACATAACAGGGATGTTAAATACCCAGATGGAGATGGAGGAATTTCACTGTTCCTATTCCATCTTGGACTCAGCCAGTTCCACATAGTAGGGCCTACATTCCACAGGGTTTCAGTTTTAAGTATAAATCTTTGCATCAGATGAAAATTTCTGAATTTCAAGGGATTAAAACTCAATTTGAGCTTATCAGGCAAAAGTGTATATTTATAGGCTTACCTTAATAGTGGAAAAGGCAGGGAAGATGGAACATAGAACTTTAATCTGTGTCATTTATCCTCTTCCTTTTCCCTTACTTATTTTTGAATACTGGCTTCATTTTTCTAAACTGGTTGAGATATGGACATTATCAGTTTCTGGCTTCATGACTAGAAACTCATGACTTCATGACTAAAGAGTGAACATTTTGAACTTAAAGGCCATAATGAGAAGCCTAATATTACAAGCTTGAATGAGGTTCCCAACCCTGGACCAATGGCTGAATAAGAGTGAGGTCTATGGTTTTTGTCATAGCCGAGTCATGTCATCTTTCTCACATCCAGGGGTGCAGTGGAATCTGTTTCCAAAATAAAGGAGGAAAAGTGTTAGGTCAACAAAAGTTAGATGGCTGCTATCAATAAATTACAGTTCCTTTCTCCATTCTCTCCTTAGTCCTTCCCCTTTCAGAGTACAGGGACTGGATTAGAAATTGCATGGATCTCAAAACAAGTAATTGTTAAAGCTAACACAAAGTGAAAGAACGGTGGTTTTGCAGTGCTCAAAAGCCTTTTGTAAACAAAAACAACAAAAAACAAAACAAAACTGAAAAAGCTGAATAAGAAAAACATTGTCACTTGAAAGTTGAGTGACCTAAATTTTAATCCTTGTTATATCTCTAAAATTATGTGATCTTGTACAAGTGACTCACCTAATACTCCTTTTTCTCACTGTCAACATGTTAGGCAATATATAAAGGTCAGCAGGAACACTTTAAAAATAGTTTAGGAAAATCTATCTTTGAAATGATAGAATGATCTATATCATCTGATAATGATTCTGAGATAATAAAATCAAATGAGAGAAAATTTTGAAGTGAAAAGGTCATTAATTTGAATTCAAGGGTTCTGATTCTGGATGTGCCTGATCTGACTTTCCTTAGGTAATTTACCTGTGTAACTCTCAAGCTGTTCCCTCTATAAAAATCACTGAATTTTATTAATTTATTTCCCAGAACTCATCCAGTTCTAAGATCTTTATTTTTTTTAAACTACAATTATACCTCAATTGTTCAAATTTTATTTTGTTTCCATTTTACAAAATGTTTGCTTGTGGCATTTTTTGAACATGAAATATTCTTGGCCATTTTCTTTTCAAATATTATTGTTGTTCCACTTTTTCCTCTCCTTTCTTTCTGTGTCACATATAGATCTTTTCACCATGTATGATGTCTCTAATGCTCCTTTCTCTTAACATACTCTTAACTGTTCATGTGTCAATTTGGATGTTTTTCTTTTGGGCAACTTTTCAGATTACAATTCTTGTTCTAGCTATATTGATTTTGGTTTTTAGAAAGTTAAAAATACGAGGTGTTTAGTGGTAGTGTTATTTGTAGTTGATCTTACATTGACTCTGATGATTGTCTTGCATCTTTGATATCTTTTAATGTTGGAAAATTTTTTGTCATTGTCTTTTCAAATGTTTCTGCCATGTTGTTTTTCTTGTTTCTTTTGGACATCTAATCACACATACCATTGACCTTTCAACTGTATCCAGTGCTTTTCTGCAACATCAGGTTCTATTTTTTCTCACACACAGTGCTATTTATTTTTCTCCTTGATATTTAACTTTTATATTTTCTAGATCTTGTTTTTGATATCATAAACCTTGTATTCTGCTTTGTCAACTTTGCCAAATTTTCAATTTTAGATTTTTAAACAATTTTTCAGATTTCGAATGTCCATTTGATGATGTTTCACAAGTTCAATATCCTGTTGAAATTCTTTCACTCCTTATTTTTTGTCCATACTTTCATAATTTTTATATATTAAACATATTATTTTAAAGTCTGAGTTACCTGGGCATCTCTATCTCTCTGTTTAAGCTATTATTTCTATTTTATAGAATGTGAAAACTAAGAAATTTCATGAAAAATTAAATCCTTTGTAGAATACATAGTATAGTTTAAAATGTTGAAAAAGAACTCCTATCTCAACCATATATCTCACATATAGTCAATGAGCATTATTTCTCATTTTTGTTGAAGAAAATTACCTGTATTAAATGTACTGAAAAGAAACATCATTAAGCACCATTAAATGAAGAATAACTCTAAATCTCTTTAATCTATTTGCATTCATTAACTAGCACTCTAGGGTAAAAATAATTATGACTATTGTTATGGCTTTAAATTCCTTTAAAATACTGACTAAAGTAAATTTCCAATTTGGGGACAGATAAGAACTAATGCCATTTAGTTTTAACAGGATTTTAATCATAAAGCTAAAGACATAAATGACATTATCACTTAAAAGTTACCCCACTTTACTTCCTTTTTACCATTGAATCAGACACTCTTACATTAATTCCAACAGAAAATCTAAGAAATTCTTGGATCCACCTCCAAAACACATTAGGTAATACCCTGAAAAGTCAGAATAATGGCAGAAGAACATCTTATTTTAACTTTTGAGATAATAGCACAAAAATATACTTTTTGCTAAATAGATCATTACTACTTTTAACTGTGGCATACTATAATATTTGAAAATTAAAATAAGCAAGAGAAAACCACAGTACGCTCGAAATAAGACTATATTGAATTTTCACAGGCACAGTTTCAAGCAAGACTAATTAACCCTCATTATTCACCAGGACTATTTCATTTAGGGCAGCTTACAAATAAGGAAGACTTTACAAACAGCTCTCACTTCAATAGGTCTTAAGATAAACATTCTAGTTTTTCAATAGTTATATGGATACCACAAAGATACTTCTTATCACTACTACTTGAAATTTCTTGCTGTTCTTCATGATTTCTTCAACTTTTTTTAAATAGTGGATAAACGATTTTCTAAAAAGTCTGAATATTTTCAGTATAGCTCATCTCTTTTTTTTTTACTATTATTTTAACTACAAAATAATTTATTCCAACACAGCTTCAGCACGAGAGACATATGTACAGGCACAGCACTCCTGACTACCCTACTGAGGGACCCTTATTTCCCCTTTGCCTTTCGGACCTCTCCTATCAAATCTTTCAGATACTGGATCTCCTTGGCCAGAGAATCTGCCTTCTCTTTCAGAGCCTCATTCTTGTTTTCTAGCTCTTTACACTCACCGGTAAGAGCTTCCTGTTCTTCCCTCTTCTTCTGGCAGTACCCAGTAGCTGCTGTCTTGGTTTGCTCCTTTTTTTTCAATTTTTTATCCATCTTCTTACCTTTTACTTTTGCTATAACCGTTTTATCTCCAGGAAGGTCATAAGCTTTGGGGCAGTTAGACCCACAAGGGCCATCTGGAGATGGCAGGCTGACATTAGCAGAGCCTCTGGAGGTGGAAGGGCTATGCTGAGGAGAGCCCAGGTCGGACTCTGGGCTCATACAGATGCCACTGTCATTATCTGGGGGGGCGTCTTCCTCCTTGACACACTGAGGGATCATAGTACCATAAGCAGCAGAGTTGGGCTTCCTCTCTCCTTCAGAGATATCCACTTTGCTGCCTAGCTCTAAGCTAAAGGAATAGTCTTGAGAAAGAGCCCCAGGGGAAAGGGAAAGAGGTTGAAAGAATTTGAAAGGGGCAACCTGATCTGTTTTTGTTAAACTTTCTGGGAGATGGCCAATTAGATTCACCATCTGGGGGGGCTCCTTATTAGTCTCCTGGAGTAGGGGGGCAAAGAGATCACTGAGCTTCCTGAGCAGCAAGGTGTTGGTGTGGGACTTGATGTCCCTCTTTGACCAGTCGGGTTTGGGGGCTCAAGAAAGCCTAGGTCTCCTAGATGACTACCTGGAGGTGGCCAACCACTTCAAACCTCATGGGTTCTCCGGTGACAAGGCGAGCTCTTCCGAATGGCTGGCTGTGGATGGGTTGGTCAATGCCTCAGTACAACTCTCTCTACATAAAAATTGGAGTTCTCTACAAATTAATAATATACTTGGCAATCATCCTTTCCTTTCTAGTGTATAATCAAGTAAAGTTGTGCAAGTCAGAAATGGGGGGGAAGTTTTCATATTTCACATAACTTTAAATAAATTTATTTCATAGAACTGTAGGGGTGCCAGCAAGATATCTTTTGAATGATACTTTCAGATGATCACTGGCATCCCTCCACCTCTGCCATATCCTGGGAGATGTCAGCAACTTTCACAGGTAGCACAAAAATGAGAGCCTTTCAATAGAGGTGGCCTATGGTGCTGGAAAATGGTAGGACCCTGGGAGTCCAGTAGCTCAGTGCTGGAAGTTGGCCTGAAAGTCAAGGTGCATGCACAGGAATAGGAAGTGATGCAACAGGAAGTGACACAAATCTCTGTGGAGGCTGATGCACAAGATTCATGTGCAGGCTGAAGGGCAGTATGCTGACCTCCTGGAAGACATGGCAGATGACACATTGGTGGTTTTTTTTTATTTATTTAAAATATCCTTTCCTTTCTGTTTATTTTGGTTATTTGCTTTTGCTATTTTAAGCTTGTTTTATAATCAGTTTTCAGATTACAGATGATAAGATGTAAAGACTCTGATATTCCCACAAAAAAATGTTAATTTTTGTTTTTTTAGTAATAAAGGGTTTCAGTGGATGACCTGATCCAGTCAAGACTTGATTTTAAGCTTTGTTATGTCTGACCTATTTCATTTTTGCTAATTATAGGATGTGATCATTTCTAGGACATGTCTTTTCCCAAGTCTCTGGGTTTGGCAAGTCTTCTCCACCTTGATTTCTATTCTTGAATTTCCCCAGGGTCCTTCAGCTGCGGAAATCATGGCATTAGCGTTATCTGTTTGCTGTTTTCTATATGTTTCTTAGAGGCTTGCTTTGTCATAGCTTAGATGTTGACTAACAATTTGAGGGTAAGCTGAGTGCAGAGATTTGGGTGCTTTTCCAAGTTCCTTTCACTTCAACAGTTTGTTCCTTAAAACTCAGCTCTGTTAGAATCCTTAACTCCAGCTCCTTTCCTTAGATGTATGGGACTGCTGCTTTCTTCTTGGGTTTTCCTCACTTTCACTACAATTTGGAAAATGCCCTGAGGAAAATTCCAAGGTCAAGGTTAATACATGTTGTATGCTTTCCTTTCTCAAGAATTCTAGCTGCTCAGTGTTACTTGGCACAAGTCTCTAATGCCTTCAGAGGATTGTTTATATGTTTTTCCAACTTTTAAAGTTATTTTTGGTAGAAGAGTTAATTCAGTATATGTTACACTCATGGATCCAGAACCCAGCATTTTATTCACTGAATTTTAATTTCAACAGTTACTTTTATCATTTCTAAATGTTATTTTTACTGAAGGAAGACAAAGTGAACATGCAAAAAGAATTAAAAAATGACATGGCACATGTTGCAAGCATCCTTTGTCTTCCTTTAAATATTGTATATGTGCATCTGTAGTCGAATTCTGTTTCTCTTTTTCTTTGTACAGATTTTTATAGTGATTTTTTTATGTTCATCTCATATAAACTGATGCCAATTTGTGGAAGTTTTAAATTTGAGAATCTTTAGGATCTTGCAAATGATTGATTAGATGCATTTTTCCTTATTCATTATGAGTCTAGGCTTAAAATAACAGAGCTTTTGAGAATTTCAAGACTGGCACACTGAAGCAAAATTTATACATTTTAATTTTGAATTGTTTTCTCCATGGTAAACTTGAAAAGTAATAAAAATGTTTAATAACCTTAGATTCACCAAGTTTCTCCCTTATAAGCTATACCTACAGAAATTCCAAGCCCATCTTATTAAACATTTTTGTTTATTTTTTAAAATATGGATTTTAGAAGGAAAGCTGTTAACTCAAGTTCAACCAAATTTAAAGACTTTTTTCTCCCCCCACCCCCCCTTTTTTTTTGTACCAGGAATTGAACCCAGGAGTGTTTAACCACTGAGCCAAGTCCCCAGACACCCCCCTTCTTTTTTGCATTTTATTTAAAAACAGATCCTCTCTAAGTTGCCTAGGGTGGCTTTGAACTCATAATCCTCCTGCCTCAGTATCCTGAGCTGCTGGGATTACATGCATGCACCCCATGTCTGACTAGGATTTCTTTTTTCCTTTTTGAGGAAAAGGAGAATGACTTTTTTCCCCTAAGATCCAGTGAGCAATATGTGAAAATAACCTTTGGTTCATTTAAAACTTATGACAGATTGATGAATGAATTATTTATCAACTAAAGTGAATTATCTACACAACTGTTTAAACCATTCCAGTACTGTCCCTTGGTAGATGACAAATTGGTTATGATTAAAATTATTGTATTTGAGGCTGTATATAGGTATGATGTACTGAATTAAAATGAAATAAAAGGAATTGAGACCTGAAATGGGACATTTCTGTTAGGTATGGGCTCATTCTAAGGGTAGTAGATGGGGGAGAAGTTGGGGAATAGAGTAGAGTAGAAAGTGTTAGCAGAAAGAGACCACAAATCCCTTGACTGTTAGGCCATTGTTTATCTTTTTTACTGCTACATCCAAAGTAACTTGACAGTCTATCACACAGTAGTTGCTCCAAAAATATTTTTAAAATTCTTTTTTAGCTGTAGATGGACATAATACCTTTATTTTATTTATTTTATGTGGTTCTGAGGGTTAAACCCAGTGCCTCACACAAGTGAGAGGAGCACTCTACCATTGAGCTACAACTCCAGTTCCACCCTCTCCAAAAATATTTGAACTGAAAATATTAAAGATGGACTTCAAGACATAACAACAAATACCTCTGTCTGTGATAGGCTGCCACATGTTTCTCCATAATAGGAAGAGATATTTCTAGGAGAACTGGCTAACTAAAAAGATCTAATAATTGGTTGACCTCTCCCCTTATCAATGGACTTGAACAACTGTGGATCTCTTATTTTTTGGTCATAATAAATGAATATTTATGAATCCTAACTTTCCCTTCACAGTGTTCTTTCTGATAATGACAAAGTTAACTTCTTTTTTGTATGATGAGGGCTTTCAAGTATGCATGAATTTCATGTATTCATAATAAGGGCTTTTATATATTAATTTATACAACATTCATATAAACCTATGAGATAGGTGCTACTTAAGAATAGTAAAGAATAGTAAAATTAGTATTAATCAACCTAATTTACTATTGTTGTACTAAATATTTTTTGTTCTGGTAATATTGTCAGAGGCCTAGGGAAGTGTGTACAATCAGCCTGAAGAGGTCAAACCACCCCAGAGGAAATTGTCTAATTTCTGATCTACACTTAATATCTTTTTAAACAAATTCCCTGGCTTTCCATTATATTGCCACGGATTCACTTTACTGTAGTTTCATGTACTTTACTTTACCATATACCAGTTCTAAATTTCAAAAGCAAATAACCAAAGATTTACATTCAAATTAGCATGCAAAATACACTTCTGATTATCTTTTAAGTCTTTTAAGTATAGAAGAAGATGGTGAAGCAAGTTCTGGATAATTTTCTGCCTAAGTAATTTAGTAAGTTGACAACTATTTCATGAACCGGAAATTGTGTGCCGATCAATTAGTTTTATCTGTCAATGCCTTCTTGTGGTTTCCTTAGAGAGTACTTAGGTATCAGCAGCATCTTTGCAAGAAAATGAGGACAAGTGAATGAGCAATTTCTTACACACTATCAAACACTGCAGAAAGTGTTTGATATGTAATGAGTAATTTAATTATTAGAATCACTCTGTGAACTAGATATAATCCTAATTTTTCAGATGAGAAAACTGAGCAGAATGTAGCATATTGTGACAAGCACCAAGCTAAGAATTTTTTTTTTTGTTTACAGATTCTCAATTGAATTGAATTGAATGCAAATTTATGGTCATAAAGACTACATTGTCTGGCTATTTCTATGTGGTAAGCAATTAGTGCCAAAATAAAACAAGGAGTTGCCTCTGAGCTGGTGATTACCTTAGTCATGAATGGCTTCATTCCCTAAAGAACTGAAATCCAATGTGCATTCTTTACTAAAGCATTGGTCATTTCCTGTGGAAAACTAATTGGGGTGTGTTCTATTTAGAAAAGTGATATATTCATTCTTACAAAAATATTTAATTTTCTTCTGTTGTACTCTTTTGTATATTTTCTTCTTTTTCATTTGAGAACCTACTCTAGGCTTCTAACCAAAAGCTTTTAGGCTTATAATTTTTGGCTATGCTACAGGCTTCATGACCATGGGAACCTGATGACTGCCCTTTGGAAAACAGTGTGATTTTACTATAAAAGGCATCTTTATGGAGGCATAACTGGTGATGGCCAGTAGAGGTTTGATTTCTTCTGGCAGTTTTCCTGAGGTAGTTCCTCCACCCAGCCACAGTGCTCCAGGTTTTTATTCCACAAGCTGTGAATTGTAGTCTATCTTAAATTTCTTCTTTCCCAAGTATCTACACACCATGAACTTGCTCTAATAAAGGGGCTTAAGTCTGTAGGGCTGGGTATGTGAGGGTGGGTGGCTGGACAGAGTATGTGATATTGACACATTGCATTTTTGTCAATCCAATGGCTGAAATGTCAGCAAAGAGATGGAACTCTCACAAAGAGGGTTAGGTTTAGAACAACAATAGATAAATTGCACATGCGACTTTAAATATTCTTCTTCTTCTTCTTCTTTTTCTTCTTCTTCTTCTTCTTCTTCTTCTTCTTCTTCTTCTTCTTCTTCTTCGTCTTCTTTTTACTTCTTCTGTCCTTCCTCTTTTGGCATCTTCCTGTTTTCCTTTTGGCTGGCCCCATTCTTCTTGGGTTTTCTCATTTAGGTAGCTGTTTTCATACTTTTGATCACCTGGAGGGCTTCAGACAATATAGGTTGTTGTCTCCTTCAGTGTTTCCTTCAGAATTTCTAATTTAGTAGAT